CTTTTATGATTTTGTTTCCCCAAAAACATCATTTCAGGAAGTTGACACTATGGCTTTCCTTCTATATGCAGTTTACAAGAAAAGGTTTGGTAGTCTGGGTGACCTGGGTTTTATTTGATATTCTTTGGCTAAAAAATAAAAAATGACAGCCCAATATTCTCCCTCTGGTTTCTGGAAAAGTCCCTCTGAGCTGCCACCAAAATGGTGCAAGTTTTGCAGTATGACCATCCCTAGCTCAAGGAATGAATCATAGACCAACACCCTTCCTCCCGCCCCCCGGGGCATTGCAATATATTGCTGTGTTCCTGATAACTCAGTGCCGCAAAATATCCTTGGGGAAAAAAAATCATGTCATAACCCCTAAATTTTTTATCTCTTGGAGTCTTTGACTTTTACAATATCAAGACCTGGATGAAGGTAAACTCTGAATCACCCTTTTGAAAGGAGATGACCATGTAATCCTTCTCAGTACAAATTTGGAGAGAAATTATTAAGAAGGGCTGATAATGCAAATGTTTCCTTCTGTGGCTCAGTTTCACATTTTGGTCATTTCATCTGGTTATGAGTTTCTCCTAAATGTAAAAACAACCAAACAAAAAAGGTCCTAAAAAAAAAAAAAAAAAAGCAACAACTCTGTAATAATACTGCCTTGAGAAATTTTCAGAGTATATTATTATTTCTCTTTTGTCTCTTGCCATGGGGACATTGAGGGCACACTGACAGTCATTATGATTATAAAAGATAGACGCTAATGTTGGTTGTTCCAGATGTAATTTTGCATTTCTCAGAAGAAATAACTATTACATCTAGGATGGAAATTTGACTGGTGTCCTGTACTTAATGTTTTTCTTCCAGGTGATTCACATAACAGGTCGGCTACGCCTGAGAGTGTCACTGTCCCATGGGAGGACCGTCCCCAGCCAAATCATGGGTCTTGTGGTTGTGGCTCATGCCTTGCCTCCCCCAACGATCAACGAAGTCAGAATTGACTGCCATATGTTCGTCACTCGAGTAAATATGGACCTCAATATCATTTACTGTGAAAATAGGTACTTTGTTTTTGTTTTCATTTGTCCTGTTGCACATTGCTCATTGGTGAGGGTCTGTGTTTTCAGCAATCTGAAGGATTTTACTCTCCCAGTGAGGCTCATTAAAAATCCTGATCTTAGTTTTAATGGCTGCTTGGACTGACACCAAACATGCTTTTTATTTAAAATTTATATGGCTGCCCTGATTTACATTAGGGACAACAATTGAATGAATTAGGATACCCAGACATCCATCCACTATAGTGAATGGATGAGAACCCAAGGACAGAGCAGGGCTGGGGCATTGTTGGATTGGCAAAGTGATGCAGTAAAAGGTATCTCCTGGTGCCTCTGAGAAGCCCACCTCAACTAGTTCAAAGGCCCAGCATCATGATGGTGAGTGTTCACACAGAAATTAAGCCCAGAGGACAAATTAGAAGTTGAGGCCCCCAGAGGAAAAGCAATGCAAAAGGAATCTGCAACACTATTGAATACAACTTTATCATCCTGAGGATTTCACTAAATTAAGAAAAGATGAGTCATCACATGAATGAGTTGGCAGTTCTTCTTGAAGACTGAGCTTTTATAAAAAGACTTTTCACCTCTGGTTAAAAAGTTCACTTTTTCCATTAAGCACAAAGCAAGGGACAGGAAACTGGGACAGTGCCCCTTCAGACCTTTCACCTAGAAGTCACCAGCCCATCATCAGACTGATTTGAAGAGAGAATCACAGGATGTGGGGAGAGCAGTGAAAAAGAGCCCACACCTCAGCCATGAGAAGGTAGCATGGTGATCCCGGGCATCCCCTGGTGCCACGGGGAGAATCACAGGGTCAGTTTGGGGAAGGTGCTTTTGTCGCACAGATTGTTGTCAGGCTTGAAGGCAATATATATTCACTGAGCCCTCTAAGTGTCTTTGGAGGGGAAATGAAAGAGCAGAATGGTCAAGTGTCTTGAGTAATTGACCTCTCCAGAGGCTGACCCAGAGGGAGCTAGGCAGCCCCTGCATTCAGCCCGCAGGGAGGTGGCTACAGAAATCCAGATCAAGTTAGAAATTGCCTACCGTTTCCACACAGGGTCTGATTCAGGGGAAGGAATTCACCAATTAGAAAAGAAACCCACCTGAGCTGTGACTGTTCAATAGAGTAGAAGATAGCATGAACCTCTCACTATTTGACAAATAATTCTAAGTTTGCTTTTCAACTTTTATTAACATTTACTAGAATTTTTATCATCCATGACGATATACTTGGCTACGTCTAAGGTATTCGGGAATGGCCACAGAATATTAGGGAAGACAAGTTAGCCACCGTGATTAGCTAGAGTTGGCAAGTAATAATAAATACAGCTGACATTTAATGAACATTTACTACATGTTCAGCCATGTGCAAATCTAATCATCTGCACCATCTCACTTAAGCTTCAGGACAGTTCCATGAGGTAGGTGCTGCCAATGTCTCTATCACTCTTGGGAAATTTCAGCTTAGAGAGAAAGGATTTCTTGCCCTCGGCCAAGATTCAAAACCAAGTCTGCCAGATTCAAAAGACCATGCACTTGGCTACATTCTGTGGGGTCCAAATGGCAAGGGAGCAGTCAGAATAACCTCTGAGAGGGACTTTTCATACATAGACTCCATGAAAGAACACAATTACTGCCCTCAAAGCTGCTTCATTTTACCAAAATGTAGAATACTGGAGGAGATGCAGCCAAGACAGGCAGATATGAAGTCAGAGGATGAATATATGATAACTCATTTGGTTGAGATTCACCATCTCCGGACCTTCCAAAAAATAGAGCCTCGGCTTATTTCCCAAATTTCCAGTGATTGCCCTATCCCAAAACATCACTTAATTTTCACTCCTGTGATCAATTGATTGATTCTTCTGACAAGTTCCATAGACCTGAGTGCCTCATGGTATCACTCCAGTAATTGAGATCATTTTCTATGACCTGCTTTTAGCTTTTCCTTTCCATTTAAAAAAAAAAAATGCTTTCCACATCCCCATATTAGCCAATACAATACCGCATTATTTCCCAACTGAAGATGATAGTAATTATGAAAAAGGCCTGTATTAAAGGTTATTGCATATTTGATTGACAGAAAAGGCATACAGTGTGCTAGGCCCTATGCTGTGTTAATTTCATTCCTTTCCATAATCCCCTCCCCACCTTGTGGGGTTACTTGACAGATGAGGAAACTGAGGATCAGAGTAAAAGATGCCTCGGGATTTCTGGTCTGCTGCTTCCTGTGCATTTAAGAAGTCCTTGACCACTGAGCTGCTCACCTTCACCAGGGTGACAAGCTCTGTTGTTTGAAGGATTTAATTTGAATAAAGGATAAACTAAAGAAATACCTTCCCTAAAGATGGAGTGGCTTTTTCCTGGGGTTTGCTATGTAATTAGGGAATTGGTAACTAGAAACTAGAGCTTGCTCCTTGAGCTGCAGACCATTCTTGTGCACTTTGCCTAGGACGGCCTCGGGCAAAGCTGACATCTAATGCTTTCAGAGGAGCTGGCAAATTCAGAAACACCAAGGAGGGTCTTTTAATGACATCCTTGTTCCCTCATTTGCAGAAAGGGAGTGCAAAGCGCACTTGGAAGAACAGGCTAATGATTTTAGGAAAACACCAACTTAATCTATTTTGTAGCACAAAACCACGGAATCCTTAGGAAACACTCCTTTTTTATTTCTCCAATTAATCTTATTTTACTAAGAATTCTAGATGGACCAAAAAATATTATTTAAATTGTGAGTCATTGAGAAATTTACTGAGTATTGTATTTTAATTATATTCCATAGTATTTCGGTTTTGTTTTTCTTTCTTATTTTTTTTTTTTTTGCCTTGGGGGCCAGATGTAACTCCCCAACAGTAATCTCATATGTTGCTTAAATGTGTCATTTCTGAAGATTTATTTTATATTTAAATAGATCAAATGTCATAAACCATTAAAATACACACACACACACACACACACACACACACA